GCTAACGACTAAAGTGTATTATCTCTCTTAACATACTAGAAATGTATTTAATGGTAAAACGGGATATTTCCTGGAATTCCTGACTGCTACCGCTGGTGAGTGGAGTAGCTCCTTTGAGTTAAATGTTTTGTAACTGTGTTTTACGTCAAGTATTAACTGATGTGTATTAACCATTGCACCCTTGAGCAGTAAGAAGGTGGCTTGGTCTGAGGAATCACGTTTTCTTTCACATCATGTACAGCTTAGGGTTGGGGTTAGAAATGGCTTGAAAAGGCTTGAAAAGACGCTTGGCCAAGGAGTTGCACTTAAGCCTTGTCTTACGCTCCATTCCTGCTAAGGCTTGTAAAGACAGTCCAATAGAATGGTTAGGCCCCCCGCTCAACCATTCACACTAAATGTAAGCTAACGACTAAAGTGTATTATCTCTCTTAACATACTAGAAATGTATTTAATGGTAAAACGGGATATTTCCTGGAATTCCTGACTGCTACCGCTGGTGAGTGGAGTAGCTCCTTTGAGTTAAATGTTTTGTAACTGTGTTTTACGTCAAGTATTAAATGATGTGTATTAACCGTTGCACCCTTGAGCAGTAAGAAGGTGGCTTGGTCTGAGGAATCACGTTTTCTTTCACATCATGTACAGCTTAGGGTTGGGGTTAGAAATGGCTTGAAAAGGCTTGAAAAGAACGTCTGCCAAGGAGTTGCACTTAAGCCTTGTCTTACGCTCCATTCCTGCTAAGGCTTGTAAAGACAGTCCAATAGAATGGTTAGGCCCCCCGCTCAACCATTCACACTAAATGTAAGCTAACGACTAAAGTGTATTATCTTTCTTAACATTCTGGAAATGTATTTAATGGTAAAACGGGATATTTCCTGGAATTCCTGACTGCTACCGCTGGTGAGTGGAGTAGCTCCTTTGAGTTAAATGTTTTGTAACTGTGTTTTACGTCAAGTATTAACTGATGTGTATTAACCGTTGCACCCTTGAGCAGTAAGAAGGTGGCTTGGTCTGAGGAATCACGTTTTCTTTCACATCATGTACAGCTTAGGGTTGGGGTTAGAAATGGCTTGAAAAGGCTTGAAAAGACGCTTGGCCAAGGAGTTGCACTTAAGCCTTGTCTTACGCCCCATTCCTGGTAAGGCTTGTAAAGACGCGCACAAGGAGTTGCACTTAAGCCTGTCTTACGCCATTCCTGCTAAGGCTTGTAAAGACGGTCCAATAGAATGGTTAGGCCCGCCAACCATTTACACTAAATGTTAATAACGACTAAAGTGTATTATCTCTCTTAACATACTAGAAATGTATTTAATGGTAAAACGGGATATTTCCTGAATTCTGACTGCTACCGCTGGTGAGTGGAGTAGCTCCTTTGAGTTAAATGTTTTGTAACTGTGTTTTACGTCAAGTATTAACTGAGGTGTATTAACCGTTGCACCCTTGAGCAGTAAGAAGGTGGCTTGGTCTGAGGAATCACGTTTTCTTTCACATCATGTACAGCTTAGGGTTGGGGTTAGAAATGGCTTGAAAAGGCTTGAAAAGACGCTCAAGTTGCATTTAAGCTTTGTCTTACGCCATTCCTGGTAAGGCTTGTAAAACGTTGGCCAAGGAGTTGCACTTAAGCCCTGTCTTACGCTCCATTCCTGCTAAGGCTTGTAAAGACGGTCCAATAGAATATTTAGGCCCGCCGCTCAACCATTCACACTAAATGTAAGCTAACGACTAAAGTGTATTATCTCTCTTAACATACTAGAAATGTATTTAATGGTAAAACGGGATATTTCCTGGAATTCCTGACTGCTACCGCTGGTGAGTGGAGTAGCTCCTTTGAGTTAAATGTTTTGTAACTGTGTTTTACGTCAAGTATTAACTGATGTGTATTAACCATTGCACCCTTGAGCAGTAAGAAGGTGGCTTGGTCTGAGGAATCACGTTTTTCACATCATGTACAGCTTAGGGTTGGGGTTAGAAATGGCTTGAAAAGGCTTGAAAAGACGCTTTGGCCAAGGAGTTGCACTTAAGCCTTGTCTTACGCTCCATTCCTGCTAAGGCTTGTAAAGACGGTCCAATAGAATGGTTAGGCCCCCCGTCAACCATTCACACTAAATGTAAGCTAACGACTAAAGTGTATTATCTCTCTTAACATACTAGAAATGTATTTAATGGTAAAACGGGATATTTCCTGGAATTCCTGACTGCTACCGCTGGTGAGTGGAGTAGCTCCTTTGAGTTAAATGTTTTGTAACTGTGTTTTACGTCAAGTATTAACTGAGGTGTATTAACCGTTGCACCCTTGAGCAGTAAGAAGGTGGCTTGGTCTGAGGAATCACGTTTTCTTTCACATCATGTACAGCTTAGGGTTGGGGTTAGAAATGGCTTGAAAAGGCTTGAAAAGACGCTTTGCCAAGGAGTTGCACTTAAGCCTTGTCTTACGCTCCATTCCTGGTAAGGCTTGTAAAGACGCTTGGCCAAGGAGTTGCACTTAAGCCCTGTCTTACGCTCCATTCCTGCTAAGGCTTGTAAAGACGGTCCAATAGAATGGTTAGGCCCGCCGCTCAACCATTCACACTAAATGTAAGCTAACGACTAAAGTGTATTATCTCTCTTAACATACTAGAAATGTATTTAATGGTAAAACGGGATATTTCCTGGAATTCCTGACTGCTACCGCTGGTGAGTGGAGTAGCTCCTTTGAGTTAAATGTTTTGTAACTGTGTTTTACGTCAAGTATTAACTGAGGTGTATTAACCGTTGCACCCTTGAGCAGTAAGAAGGTGGCTTGGTCTGAGGAATCACGTTTTCTTTCACATCATGTACAGCTTAGGGTTGGGGTTAGAAATGGCTTGAAAAGGCTTGAAAAGACGCTTGGCCAAGGAGTTGCACTTAAGCCTTGTCTTACGCTCCATTCCTGCTAAGGCTTGTAACCCCGGTCTTCCGCGTGACAGGCGGAGATACTGTCCACTATACTAACGAGGAAATCCTACTTATGCTCGGAAAGATGGTTGGCACATTGGATAGCATCAAAACATAAACGATAAAACCATAAATGATCCAAGAAATTGCACTTAAGCCTTGTCCTGTGCCCCATACCCGTGATGGCCAACAGAATATGGCACTGGACTTGAACTGCACTGGGGCTTTACCTGTGCAGGTTGAAGCCTGCTATGAACCTGAGTCTTAATGCAGAGAATCTTTATGAAGATGAGCAACAAAGCACCTTGGCATTCATCAAACAAGCTCGTGCCAACCACATCTTCCATCCTGGGAAATTGCATTGACGTAAAGGAAGTCAAACGAATCCTGCTTTGAGACAATGTCCACTGTAAAAAGCGCTACACAAATAAAATTGATTTGAACTGAATCGAATGTGTACATGTAAAGTTGTAAATGGTCTAGTTACTTAATTGAAGTAAATGTATTGAAGAGGGGCAGAAACCTGAGAATATAAAGATGCACAAACACGTTTATTGGCTCCAGAAAAAATAGTCCAGTGTTTCCTTAAATCACTTTGCCGCTTTGCTTGTGAAGAGCAAAATTCGAATAGAAAATCGATCTCGTTTGCTAGCTCACTTATCAAAGATAACTATAAAATACTTTATATTATAAAATACTATTAGTAACCCATAATTAACTAAATGGTCTCGCGCCGCAGTATCTAAGCGACCTTTTGGTTTTCTATGATCCGCCACGCCTACTTAGATCAAAAGATGCAGGCTATTTGTTCGTACCCTCATTACAGGCTACAACAGGAGGATGAGCTTTCTCTTCTGGAGCCCCACACTTATGGAACAGTCTTCCAATTAGAGTTCGGGACTCAGGCACAGTCTCAGTGTCTAGGCTTTAATCGTATTTGTTTAATCAAGCCTACGCTGACTAGACTTTCTCTTATGCTAGGCACAGTCCTAGTTTTTTTCTCTCCCTCTCTCCTTCTGTCGAGCCACACCCGATTTTATGGAGATACTAGAGATCCTGATCCTCTCTGTTCTCTGGACCTACCTGATCCATTTTGGATGGCCTACCTCTGGATGGAGCTCTCATCTACTCCAATTCCAGATTGCTGGGACTACAGCTGCTTCTAAGGCCAAAGAGACTCCATATGAATCCATAATCATCTATTTCACACTATCTGATGTTACCCGTATGAGGATAGGTTCCCTTCTGATTCTGGTTCCTCTCAAGGTTTGTTCCTCTTAACATCTTAGGGAGTTTTTCCTTGCCACCGTCACCACTTAGTGGCTTGCTCAGTTGGGATACGTTCGCACCTTATATATCAATTATACCGAATGGTTTTATAGATATACATGGATTAAACTTTACTTCACCTCGGGTTGGGGTTAGAAATGGCTTGAAAAGGCTTGAAAAGACGCTTGGCCAAGGAGTTGCACTTAAGCCCTGTCTTACGCTCCATTCCTGTTAAAGCTTGTAAAGACGGTCCAATAGAATGGTTAGGCCCGCCGCTCAACCATTCACACTAAATGTAAGCTAACGACTAAAATGTATTATCTCTCTTAACATACTAGAAATGTATTTAATGGTAAAAGGATATTTCCTGAATTCTTATGCTACCGCTGGTGAGTGGAGTAGCTCCTTTGAGTTAAATGTTTTGTAACTGTGTTTTACGTCAAGTATTAACTGATGTGTATTAACCGTTGCACCCTTGAGCAGTAAGAAGGTGGCTTGGTCTGAGGAATCACGTTTTCTTTCACATCATGTACAGCTTAGGGTTGGGGTTAGAAATGGCTTGAAAAGGCTTGAAAAGACGCTTGGCCAAGGAGTTGCACTTAAGCCTTGTCTTACGCTCCATTTGGTAAGGCTTGTAAGAGTTCAAGGTTCCTTTTTGTTTAGCCATTTAGTTTCTGTTTTTATTTTTTGTTTTTTTTGGTTTGATGATTTACAGTTTTTTTATTTTTTTTTTTTGTGTTTTTTTTTTTTTTTTTTTTAGCCATTTTTGTGTGATATGGTTTCTTTTTAAATGTTAATTTGGCCAGCGGTGATAAAACACCATTCCTGACCGGGAATGGAACCCGGCCGTAAGCGCGATGAGAGCAATCAATCCTTACCACTAGACAACCAGGGACAAAACCAAGAAAATGGTGGCCTCTACACTAGCTATACTGGCCAGTTTCTTCCATCAAAAGCTCATAGAAAGGGCACATGAGCATCAGCACAGGACAATGGAGCAGTAAGAAGGTGGCTTGGTCTGAGGAATCACGTTTTCTTTTCACATCATGTACAGCTTAGGGTTGGGGTTAGAAATGGCTTGAAAAGGCTTGAAAAGACGCTTGGCCAAGGAGTTGCACTTAAGCCCTGTCTTACGCCTCCATTCCTGCTAAGGCTTGTAAAGACGGTCCAATAGTATGGTTAGGCCCGCCGCTCAACCATTCACACTAAATGTAAGCTAACGACTAAAGTGTATTATCTCTCTTAACATACTAGAAATGTATTTAATGGTAAAACGGGATATTTCCTGGAATTCCTGACTGCGCTACCGCTGGTGAGTGGAGTAGGTCCTTTGGAGTTAAATGTTTTGTAACTGTGTTTTACGTCAAGTATTAACTGATGTGTATTAACCGTTGCACCCTTGAGCAGTAAGAAGGTGGCTTGGTCTGAGGAATCACTTTTCTTTCACATCATGTACAGCTTAGGGTTGGGGTTAGAAATGGCTTGAAAAGGCCTTGAAAAGACGCTTGGCCAAGGAGTTGCACTTAAGCCTTGTCTTACGCTCCATTCCTGGTAAGGCTTGTAAAGACGCTTGGCCAAGGAGTTGCACTTAAGCCCTGTCTTACGCTCCATTCCTGCTAAGGCTTGTAAAGACGGTCCAATAGAATGGTTAGGCCCGTCGCTCAACCATTCACACTAAAATGTAAGCTAACGACTAAAGTGTATTATCTCTCTTAACATACTAGAAATGTATTTAATGGTAAAACGGGATATTTCCTGGAATTCCTGAATGCTACCGCTGGTGAGTGGAGTAGCTCCTTTGAGTTAAATGTTTTGTAACTGTGTTTTACGTCTAGTATTAAATGATGTGTATTAACCGTTACACCCTTGAGCAGTAAGAAGGTGGCTTGGTCTGAGGAATCAGGTTTCTTTCACATCATGTACAGCTTAGGGTTGGGGTTAGACCCTAAGTAAAAGACGGGATATATTATATAAGCCTTGTCTTACGCTCCATTCCTGCTAAGGTTTGTAACCCCGGTCTTCCCCGTGACAGGCGGAGATACTGTCCACTATACTAACGAGGAAATCCTTCTTACGCTTCGGAAAGACGGTTGGCACTTTGGATAGCATCAAAACATAAACGATAAAACCATAAATGATCCAAGAAATTGCACTTGAGCCTTGTCCTGTGCCCCATACCCGTGATGGCCAACAGAATATGGCACTGAACTTGAACTGCACTGGGGCTTTACCTATGCAAGTTGAAGCCTGCTATGAACCTGAGTCTTAATGCAGAGAATCTTTATGAAGATGAGCAACAAAGCACCTTGGCATTCATCAAACAAGCTCGTACCAAACACATCTTCCATCCTGGGAAATTGCATTGATGTAAAGGAAGTCAAACGAATCCTGCTTTGAGACAATGTCCACTGTAAAAAGCGCTACACAAATAAAATTGATTTGAACTGAATCGAATGTGTACATGTGAAGTTGTAAATGGTCTAGTTACTTAATTGAAGTAAATGTATTGAAGAGGGGCAGAAACATGAGAATATAAAGATGCACAAACACGTTTATTGGCTCCAGAAAAAATAGTCCAGTGTTTCCTTAAATCACTTTGCCGCTTTGCTTGTGAAGAGCAAAATTCGAATAGAAAATCGATCTCGTTTGCTAGCTCACTTATCAAAGATAACTATAAATTACTTTATATGATAAAATACTATTAGTAACCCATAATTAACTAAATGGTCTCGCACCGCAGTATCTAAGCACCTTTTGGTTTTCTATGATCCGCCACGCCTACTTAGATCAAAAGATGCAGGCTATTTGTTCGGACCTCGAACAGCGAAGGCTACAACAGGAGGAGGTTTTCTTCTGGAGCCCCACACTTATGCAACAGTCTTCCAATTAGAGTTCGGGACTCAGGAACAGTCTCAGTGTCTAGGCTTTAATCGTATTTGTTTAATCAGCCCTACGCTGACTAGACTTTCTCTTATGCTAGGCACAGTCCTAGTTTTTTTTTCTCTCCCTCCTCTCTCCTTCTGTCGAGCCACACACGATTTTATGGAGATACTAGAGATCCTGATCCTCTCTGTTCTCTGGACCTACCTGATCCATTTTGGATGGCCTACCTCTGGATGGAGCTCTCATCTACTCCAATTCCAGATTGCTGGGACTACAGCTGCTTCTAAGGCCAAAGAGACTCCATATGAATCCATAATCAGCTTTTTCACACTATCTGATGTTACCCAGATGAGGATAGGTTCCCTTCTGATTCTGGTTCCTCTCAAGGTTTGTTCCTCTTAACATCTTAGGGAGTTTTTCCTTGCCACCGTCACCACTTAGTGGCTTGCTCAGTTGGGATACATTCGCACCGTATATATCGATATACCGAATGGTTTTATAGATATACATGGATTAAGCTTCGCTTCACCTTCGATAGCTCAGTTGGTAGAGCGGAGGACTGTAGGTACTTAAACTAGTCATCCTCAGGTCGCTGGTTCGATTCCGGCTCGAAGGAAGGATTTCTCTGTGTGATATGGTTCCTTTTTAAATGTTAATTTGGCCAGCGGTGGATAAAACACCATTCCCTGACTGGGAATGGAAGCCAGGCCGCAGCGGTGAGAGCACAGAATCCTTACCACTAGACAACCAGGGACGAACACCAAGAAAATGGTGGCCTCTACACTAGCTATGCTGGCCAGTTTCTTCCATCAAAAGCTCATAGAAAGGGCACGTGAGCATCAGCAAAGGACAATGGAGCAGTAAGAAGGTGGCTTGGTCTGAGGAATCACGTTTTCTTTCACATCATGTACAGCTTAGGGTTGGGGTTAGAAATGGCTTGAAAAGGCTTGAAAAGACGCTTGGCCAAGGAGTTGCACTTAAGCCCTGTCTTACGCTCCATTCCTGGTAAGGCTTGTAAAGACGGTCCAATAGTATGGTTAGGCCCGCGCCTCAACCATTCACACTAAATGTAAGCTAACGACCAAAGTGTATTATCTCTCTTAACATACTAGAAATGTATTTAATGGTAAAACGGGATATTTCCTGGAATTCCTACTGCTACCGCTGGTGAGTGGATAGGTCCTTTGAGTTAAATGTTTTGTAACTGTGTTTTTACGTCAGAGAATTAACTGATGTGTATTAACCGTTGCACCCCTTGAGCAGTAAGAAGGTGGCTTGGTCTGAGGAATCACGTTTTTTTCACCCACATCATGTACAGCTTAGGGTTGGGGTTAGAAATGGCTTGAAAAGGCTTGAAAAGACGCTTGGCCAAGGAGTTGCACTTAAGCCTTGTCTTACGCTCCATTCCTGGTAAGGCTTGTAAAGACGCTTGGCCAAGGAGTTGCACTTAAGCCCTGTCTTACACTCCATTCCTGCTAAGGCTTGTAAAGACGGTCCAATAGAATGGTTAGGCCCGCCGCTCAACCATTCACACTAAATGTAAGCTAACGACTAAAGTGTATTATCTCTCTTAACATACTAGAAATGTATTTAATGGTAAAACGGGATATTTCTGAATTCTGACTGCTACCGCTGGTGAGTGGAGTAGCTCCTTTGGTTAAATGTTTTGTAACTGTGTTTTCTAGTATTAAATGATGTGTATTAACCGTTGCACCCTTGCATAAGAGGTGCTTGTCTAGTACGTTTTTTTCACATCATGTACAGCTTAGGGTTGGGGTTAGAAATGCTTGAAAAGGCTTGAAAAGACGCTTCAAGGTTGATTAAGCCTGTCTTATCCATTCTGGTAAGGTTGTAAAGAGGTCAATAGAATGGTTAGGCCCGCCGCTCAACCATTCACACTAAATGTAAGCTAACGACTAAAGTGTATTATCTCTCTTAACATACTAGAAATGTATTTAATGGTAAAACGGGATATTTCCTGAATTCCTGACTGCTACCGCTGGTGAGTGGATAGCTCCTTTGAGTTAAATGTTTTGTAACTGTGTTTTACGTCTAGTATTAAATGATGTGTATTAACCGTTGCACCCTTGAGCAGTAAGAAGGTGGCTTGGTCTGAGGAATCAGGTTTCCTTTCACATCATGTACAGCTTAGGGTTGGGGTTAGACCCTAAGTAAAACGGGATATATTATATAAGCCTTGTCTTACGCTCCATTCCTGCTAAGGTTTGTAACCCCGGTCTTCCCCGTGACAGGCGGAGATACTGTCCACTATACTAACGAGGAAATCCTTCTTACGCTCCGAAAGACGGTTGGCACTTTGGATAGCATCAAAACATAAACGATAAAACCATAAATGATCCAAGAAATTGCACTTGAGCCTTGTCCTGTGCCCCATACCCGTGATGGCCAACAGAATATGGCACTGGACTTGAACTGCACTGGGGCTTTACCTATGCAAGTTGAAGCCTGCTATGAACCTGAGTCTTAATGCAGAGAATCTTTATGAAGATGAGCAACAAAGCACCTTGGCATTCATCAAACAAGCTCGTGCCAAACACATCTTCCATCCTGGGAAATTGCATTGATGTAAAGGAAGTCAAAGCGAAATCCTGCTTTGAGACAATGTCCACTGTAAAAAGCGCTACACAAATAAAATTGATTTGAACTGAATCGAATGTGTACATGTGAAGTTGTAAATGGTCTAGTTACTTAATTGAAGTAAATGTATTGAAGAGGGGCAGAAACATGAGAATATAAAGATGCACAAACACGTTTATTGGCTCCAGAAAAAATAGTCCAGTGTTTCCTTAAATCACTTTGCCGCTTTGCTTGTGAAGAGCAAAATTCGAATAGAAAATCGATCTCGTTTGCTAGCTCACTTATCAAAGATAACTATAAATTACTTTATATGATAAAATACTATTAGTAACCCATAATTAACTAAATGGTCTCGCGCCGCAGTATCTAAGCGACCTTTTGGTTTTCTATGATCCGCCACGCCTACTTAGATCA